TTCCCACAAGTGCAGCCCTTCCGACCCCCGGATCTGACATCACCGGTCTTAAACCGCTTTAACGCAGGCTACAACTGTGTCGGGGACGACCTCTACTCCCTCGTCTGCAAATCAATCTCAATCTCGCGCCGCCTGGCGGCCTCCTACATCTCCAACAAAGTACCCAACCAACTGTCTGATTTCCTTCTTGAGCATGCTCAAGTAACGAGTCATCTGAGCCTGCTCAGATGTGGTGAACTCAGGACAAAACATATCCCTCTCTATGAACATCTTGGTGATCTCCATCACTGTCTCAGTCCCCTGCCCCAAATCCAGGTACTCCTGGGCCAACCTCTTACGCTCCACCAGCTGCACATAATGAGAGCGGAACATTTCCGAGAACTGCTCCCAAGACACAATAGCTCTCTACTCAGCAGAATATGAATTAGTAGCAAGCCTCCACTAATCCTTCACTCCGGTCCTTAGAAGGTTCAGAGTGCACCTGGCCTTCTGGTCAGCTGGGCAAGAACAAGTGAAGAAACACCCCTCCACATCAGATAGCCACCTTATGAAGATGATCAGGTCCTGCACACTATCGAAAGTCGGGGGCTTCGTATTGTCGAAGTACCGATACTGAAAAACCCCACCCGATCCAACCCCTGTAGCCGTAACAGCTACAGTGGCTGCAGCAGCAACAATCTCAAACAAAGCAGCATAACGCTCATCAAGGGTACTCAATCATGGCGATCTTAATAGACCCAAACATCTTTGGAAACTAAGCTCGGAAACAAGCAACAACCTCCTCCTGCAAGATTTCCCTGATCCTGTCATCCAACGCAGCTGACCCACCCTGACTGCCATCTCCTGATCCCGAACCGGACCCAACCTCAAATCGATGCGTAGTCACCATACTGAAAATAAACTAGGAGGATATCAGATAACACACATATCATATCATGGGAACCAACTCCCAACAAAGCCCTAGGGGTTGTGACTTCCTTGTTACGTGTACGGGTCCTATGCTTTCAGTAGTACGGGCCCATACTACCTTCCACACCTACCCGTATTTGTCTCAGAGGATCATCACAACACCCTGACAATACTCACTAGCATAGACAAACACTCAATACCCACTCCCTAGAGGAAAGGATAAATATCTCGAAATTGGCCGGCTGACCCCACACAACTCATCCATGAAACTTCCACCAACCCTGCAGCACTCGTGTATGCTAGCCATACATAACACTGGACCCTATAGACAATCGAATATCTAATCCTACCCTAAGCCCTTCATCAAACAAGAATTGGAAATAAGGCCAAACCAAACATTCTCAGGCTATAGGATCTTAGTTATGCATGGCCATGATGTGTACACTAAGCAACTACTATAATGATGCCAATTCCATTAGAGAAGAACCCTTGGCTATCATGCATCATATAATAAGGCAATTACATCATGCAAAATCCTAAATATCCCTAGCATATCGCTAGCATTATGTTCTAAGATATCACGATATCAAATAACAATATGGTATTTTGGGGTCTACTTACTGGCTCCGGCTGATCGTACACATCACATCCTCCTTGATTATTTTGAAAACCATTTGAAAAATCATTTAAAAAATATTTTTCCTTAGTTTAAGACTTGATTCACACGAATGTTGCTCCAATTCACTCAAACCAAGGCTCTAATACCAACTTGTAACATCTATAAAATTCATGAAAAATTTAAACTTTTAAAACAAACCAGAACTCATCATTGTTTAGAAAATAATTTTCAAACATGATCATTATTAGAGTTTTTCCCAAAATCATAAAACAAAACTCGAGGAGGTGTACGATCACGCCTTCGCCTTCTCGCGATCCTCTGAGGTACTTGAAACATAATCCAAAACTGTAAGCTCAAAGCTTAGTGAATTCCCCCAAAATACCAATAAACAAACATATAACACATATATAATAACAGCATACAATGGGTCCACAACTAACAGACTGGATTACCCCTGATCCCACAACATAAGCTTGGTTTTCCCCTGGGGCCCATAGCTTATGTCTGGCTTGCTCCCCGGCCTGATCAGTCCTCAGACTGAATGCCACTAATCCCTCAGTACGAGTCTGACATACCCTTCCCGACCCTCATCTGGTATCTGGAATGCTCATGAGCCCTCAGTATGAGTCTGTCACGCCCTTCCCGACCCTCAGCTGAAATCTGGTTTGCTCCAGAGTTTGTTGGCTACAACACGGAGAAGTACAACCTCAACCCAACCCACACAATATGTGAACATATAACAGATAATATCATATACAGATAAACAGACAGTATCACAGGTAGTCCTACAAATCTACCAGACTAGCATATCAAATCTAACATGCATATCTATTCCATACTCATCATATCAACAAATATTAGGTTATCAAACCAATGGGCCGGCCTTGGTGCCTTCGACCCGAAATTACAGTGAGGAAAACTCACCTCACAAGTTGAACAGAACTGATAAGGCCCGACTCCGAATCTCAGCTCTCTACTCAATGCCTACATCCACCAAGTGACCAATTCCATCAAAATCCCAAAATACCCAAAATACCCTAAAAGTTAAACTTGGTCAAATGTGGTCAAACTCAAAGTTAACTGGTCAAAATCAATAAACTCACTGAGTCAACCCAACCGAGTTAACTCAACATGGGCTGACCCATGCGAGTACGCGGGGCGTACTCCGGAGGTACGCTTAGCATACACGAAGCTGTGCAGAAGACCACCATCAGGGTGGTTGATCGGGTACGCGGGGCGTACACCAAGCTACGCGGGGCGTAACCTCGCAACCCTAATTTCTTCATTAAGTGCTTAATTGCTTCAACACTTAAGCTCATACTTCATATCCAAGGTCCAGAGGCATACTAGGGTCATAATGTTTCCAACTTTATGACCTTACACGTTCATAAAGTCCTTAACACAAGGTCTTAATCCATTAAGACCTTCTACAAGATGCATGGAGCCAAACTAGCTAAAGGGACCTCATTTTTATGGTTTAGGACCCTTCCTAGGGTCTGGAAGGACAGCTCAAAACGTCTAAAACCAAACATGCATAAAAATGGAACTTTTGAGACGAGAAGAACAACATAAAGTTACCACAATGAGATCCAAGCAAACAAAGCATCAAGGTGAAGACTTTTTACCTTCTGGAGCTTCTCAAGAAGGTAATGATCCAAGATCCACAAGCTTGGTTCCACTACTATGCTCCTTCATGCAACACCTTCTTCTTTAAGCACACCAAAACACACTTTTTAGCTCAAACACACACTTGAGGGACTAGGGTTTTTCAAGGGACGACTCTAAGGCTTTGGAGGCTGAAAATGTGGGGATAAATGAGCCATAAGGATGCTTAAATACCCCTCAAACCCTAAAACTTAGGGTTTTTTTTCGGATATGAGTACGTCCAACGTACATATGTTTACACCCAGTGTACCCACATGTACGCTTAGCGTACTTCTCCTTCCGCAAAATTACAATCTTGCCACTAGGGCTTCTTATGACTACTTCCTTCCAATCCAAGGACCAACATGACATAATTTAAAACCATTGGATGAATTTGAAAATACCTAAAAATCGGGGTGTTTCATTATACCCATACACGTACACATATATGTGAATAATAAGTTGATAAAACAAACGATACATTGATTTATTAAGTATGTATGCATGTATGTGTATAATACGTTGATAAATCAAAGAAATACATCGATTTTTTAAACATTATAAAGGATAAAACAAAGACAGCAACGTTAAATGGTCAAAAATAGAAAAACTCTTCATTGCTGTGGGAAATTTGTAGGTGATTATCCACAGATTACCCACATACCAAAATAGTTTTTTTTTTTTTTTTTTTCATTTTTGACCAATAAACGTTGTTTTTTTTTTCGTTCCATGTTTAACATAACTTAATAAATCATTGTATTTTTTGTTTTATCAATTTATTAGATACATATACATACACATGCATCTATGAGTTTAATAAATTGATGAAATAAAGGGGTATACTGAATTATTAAGTATATATGCATGTATAAAAGTATTTATATATGTTTAAGTGTATTTGTGAAATAAATTGAACAAACAAGTGAATACATCAAATGATTAAGTTCTGTGAGTAAACATCCGTGGAAATACTGTGGGTAACAGAGCCGTGGAAAAGTTGTGGGAAAACTTTTTGTGGATACTCCGTGGGTAATCTAGTCGTGGATAATCCGTGGGTAACTTGCCCGTGGATAAACTGTGGGTAATTCTGTAGGTAAACTGTCTATGGTAAATATGTAAGTTAATATGTTTGTAGGTAATTCTAATGGTAATCCGTGGAAAAACATTATCCACGAACTTTTACCCACAAATCTAGTTTCGTGGAACATCCGTGGGTAAAGACAATTACCCCACATATAGAACCGTGAGTGAAGGTCTGTATTATTGCAGTGTCTCGTGTATTCTATTGAGAAATGCCAAAGGAAATAATCCAAACTATTTGCAAGTTTTGGTCTAAATACGCCGGTGCCATTCCGACTGTTCTTAGAAACATGCACAAGAGAGTAAATTTGTTAAAAGGATCCGTGTCCAACACAAGTCTCATCCTCCGGTTTAATTTTCTATTTTTCGACATTTATGTTTTACTTCCTTTGTAAGCAGTAAAATTTAGCATTGTGGAAGAAACACATTAACCGAAAATTTTCCCAACAGAACCTTTTAAAATACAATATTTCAAAGAACACTTACAAGAAAATACGTTAATCAATAATCAAGTGCTCAATCAAAAGGCTAAAGCAAAACCTTTTTTATAAAATATGAAAGTATTTTGTGTGTTCATGCTTTGTCGCAAAGTGCTCGACTAATATTAAATTGGATATGCAATTCCCAAATGAGTTAAGGATAACCGTTCGAATTAAAAATTCTTAAGTTCAAATCAAGAAAGATTTTATAGTATTAATCATCCAAACTGCAGAAGAAGAAATGTCAACACGAATAAAAAACCATATACGCTCTCGTCAATCGTCATTAATAAATAATAATTATTCATATTATTGTGATTACATAATAAAAATTACAGGCAAAGTTTGTATACGATCGATACAACAAGAACAAAAACCGGCGAGAGCACATGACATGGGTGGTCCTATTATAGCAGCAGCTTCTTTTACTTTGCCTAGGACTTGAGGATCGGGACGATTTTCAACTGATGTTTGAGCGATGTTGAAATCCCTGTGATTTCTGTGATGTCAAGCTCATGGGGTTTCAATCCATTTGGAAGTTTCCAATCAAAATGATACAAGAAATTAGCAAGTGGGTATTCAACCATACTCAACCCAAATGTAAGTCCGGGGCAAATTCTCCGGCCAGCACCGAACGGAATGAACTCGAAATCTGCACCCATGTAATTGATCGGACAGTTCTCAAATCTCTCCGGGATGAAGCTTTCTGCATCTTTCCAACTGTCAGGGTCTGTTCCACAAGCCCAAGCGTTTACAAGGATCTTAGTTTTGGCCGGAATATCGTATCCGTCGACGTTGCAATCTTGCCGGCATTCTCTGGGTACTAACAAAGGTGTAGGAGCATGTAACCTCAGTGTTTCCTTTACTATTAGTTTCAGGTAATGCAAGCTTTGTAAATCCGTTTCGGTGATTGTGTCTCCTTTCACCACCGATCTCACTTCTTCTTGTGCTCTCTTCATCATCTCAGGGTTCCTCATGAGCTCAGTCATCGCCCATTCAAGTGTTGCTGAAGATGTATCTGTTCCAGCAGTCAACATATCCTGCATTAAACCAAAAACATGTTAATTAGATTATGAATTTAAAATCCATGTACATGTTTGGTGGTTGGAAGTTTGTATATATTTATATATTCGTACCAGAACAACGGCTTTGACATGTTCATCTGTGACTGTGAAATCCAGTCCACCGGTGTCTTTGACTCTCAAAAGAACATCAACTAGATCTTCTTGATCGCTCTTGTTTCTTCCTTTAGATCTGTGTTCCTTTAACACATCTTCCAAGATGTCATCAAGCTGTTTCTGCATCTTCAACCACTTGGCTTTCTTCCCCAAGATCACATTAAGAAACTGTAGACCAGGATAATACGATGCTAGATTGAAAGCACTCAAAGTTTTCAACACATCATACAACACCTCGATCAAAGTAGCCTGGTCTTTGCAGGAATCTCCCAACGTAGCCTTGCAGATGACATTATTCACCATCTCCACAGTCATTTCCGTGAAGTTGACGGTTGTTCCGGCTTGTGATTCAAGAACCTTACTGATACGACGAAGCTCCTCTTCCCGAATAGAGCTAAAAGATCGAACTTTTTTGGCACTAAGAAGCTCCAAGGTGCAAATCTTCTTCATCTGCCTCCAGTATTCGCCATATGGAGCCCACCCAATGTCTTGAGCTTTATAAAAGAATATTTGGGAGGTTGTGGTTGTGGGTCTGTCAGCAAAGCTGATATCGTTGGTTTTCATGATCTCTCGAGCAAGTCGAGGTGTAGACACGACGACTGTAGAGACTTGTCCGAGCTGTAGATGCATGATGGGGCCATATTTCTTGGCTAAGTTTCTAAGAACTCGATGAGGAGTTGGGCTTTTGAGTTGGTGTATGTTTCCGATGATGGGTAGTTTTGGTGGACCTGGTGGCAAGTTCTTGGAGGTCTTTGGTGATAATGCCCAAAAAACAAAGAGAAGGAATGAAGCCACAGCGAGGGAGACGATGGTGAGAGGTTCCATGGTTGCAGGTTGAAGGCTGTGTTGTGATGTTTGGTATGGATACGATAATATTTATAATACTCAAGTAGTGTACCAAACCCTTTGATTTTCTAAATTTTTTTATACGTTCATAGAACGCCACCATAAATGTTTTTTTTATCCTGGGTCACCATCCCTTTTGGAAATTATTACATCGAAAATTCTTATAAAATGCCATTTGATATTATTATATTATTTTTATATTTATTTTTCGTGGTAATAAAGGCAGAAAATAAATATTAGCTTTTAACTATCCTTTTTGGAAATTATTTCATCCAAAACTCTTATAAAATGTCATTCGATAAGATATACTATATATTTTTTTATATTTACCTATGGTGGTAATTAAGGCAATAAATATATAAATATTAGCTTTTAAAAGACACGTGAAGTGATAACATTTGAGCACTCCATCCCCGTACCCGCATCTTAGTCCAGCTGCCCCAAGTTGACTTGAGGAGAAGTTGTAGTTTGACACTTTGACCCTTTTCGCATATATAGTATAATTTTGAATTTATTCTATTTTTCGGTCACCTTTTGCAACTTTGATTTTAATTTTTTTCATGGAACGTAGTGACCCTTTCATGAACTCCCGCTATCCTTATAGAAAGTTTTCTTTTCCTTTTTTATGTTTTTAGTTCCAATTCCAAATATGAAGATTATAACCATCATAAATAATGACTTGTTTGTTTATTCTAAAAACAATTATATAAGAATATTTAAACTTTAATGACTAAATTCTTTGGGAGCTTGAGCCTAAATCCTAATCATTAACATATTTTGTGGTGATGAAAAAATTTGATACGTCGACTTTTATGAAAAATGGTTTTGATGTTTTACATGTCTTTCAAAAAAGAAAATATATTCTTTGAAATTTGAAATGTTACAAGTTGGTATCAGAACATTGGTTTTAAGGATTTGGATGGACATTCGTGTGATTTCAAACTCAAATTAGGATCTGAAAGATTTTATAAATCTTTTTGAAAAAGATTCTTTATAAAATGAGGAAAGATGTGATGCATACAATCAGTTAGAGCTCAAAAAGGAAAGTGATTCCCAAAAATATTCAGACTTGCTATATCTATTGATATGTGAACGGTTAGGAATGCATTCTAGTATGTATGCTAAGGATCTTTTTCAGGAATTACATGATCTTTAAGATGCCTTGTTGCCTTAAAATTTGTTTGTTATGTGTTATTCAAAGTCAATGCTAATGTTAATTAGTTGTTAAATGAATGCTTTAAAATTGTCCATAATTAGTATTAATAGGCTTAAAATGCATGATTTAGCCTTACTTCTCGTTTCTTCTTTGGTTATTGATTTATGGTAGAATCACTTATTCGACCATCTATCTAATCCTTGATTATGTACGACTTGCATTCACAAGGAAATTATCGACATTATCAGAGACTTCTAATGGTACGAGAGCGAGGGTGGAAGGAATCCTAGAAGAATAGTCTAGGAAGGTTAGTGGTATGTGTTTGTATATGTACATATATAAGTGATAGGACCCCTAGGTGGTGGTCATTAGGGGTAACTTAGAACTTTGGGATAATTCGTGGGTACACATAGGTGTGGAAGGTAGTATGTGCCCATATTACCATTAGCACAGGATGCGTACAAGGATCAAGAAGAGTTACAAGGTTTCTGCGAAACTTGTATATAGAAATAGTGTGGGGTTTAACACTATGAATTTGTTATAACTTGTTACCGTTTATTTCCTACAATATGTTGATGACTCAATAAGGAGCAAGTTGATCGGGTTTGGGTATGAGCATTGACGGCTAGGGAGGATCAGGTCCGAGCGATACGAAACGCATGACTTGGTCGCATCTAAGGTTTCTAGGATCATATTAGAGGAGCTACCCAGTATGTTCGGGAGGATCAAGGATGAGCTAATAGCCATGTTCGATGCGTGATATACACACACACTCAGACTACCACTAGATCTGGTCGATCGAGGACCCGAGAGATTACTTATCGTGACTTTGTTGCTTGTCATCCGCTCCAGTTTTTGGGGAGGAAGGAACTGATAGTCAGCATGCATTGGATCGTTGACGTGAAGAGCATTTTTTTACTTTATTTTTCATGAATGAGGCAAAGGTCAAGTTCTCTATGAATCTGTTGCGCGATGGAGCTAGAGATTGACGATGACAGATTGTTTAGGCCCTTGGGCCGATTGTTGTAGATACTATGTCATGGGAGGACTTTAAGACCAGATTACAGGCAGAGTATGTGCCTAAGGTTGAGGTTAAAAGATGGCTCGATATTTTCTGACTCTCGAACAGACTGCGAAGTCGGTGATTGAGATCATCAAAATGTTTAAGGAGAGGGCATTATTATACTCTCAATATGTGGCGACGGAGGAGATGAAGTTGTCATGATACTCTAAAATGTCGAGGACCAATATCGGGTGTTCGCTAGTGTCACTAAGTGCTCAACCTCGACGAGATGGTAGAGGTAGCCCATAAATGGGAGTTGGAGTTAGAGTCTCACAAAAAGAGGAAACAGACTCGGGTTCTGACGCTATCAGTATCAACCAAGAAATTCAAGGCTCCCAATTTCTGTTCTAGGGGATTACAAGTAGCGTTTACGGTTGTGCTACAACTACAACCAGGTGGTTCACCTTCATGGTGATTGTCCTCTTCTCGTAGCAGGTGCGGTGTAATGCTATATGTTGTTACAGATATGTATTTATTTGTTTTCCTGCTACTCTTTCCTTTTTGTACTTATTATTATGTACATGATTAGGTATATTTCTAGTAAATTCTATGTATGCCTTAGTATTGTTTGAATCTGCGGCAATTCGTTCCTTTCTGTTGCTTATGTTCAATAGGAGCTTTGATGTTGCTCCAGGAGCACTAAACCATCTACTAGTAGTCAAGATAGTTGATGATATATGGTTTCAGCTTCGAGAGTTTTCTGTGATTGTGTCATAGAGATATTCAGGGTTAGGTTTCCGACAGACATCATTCTTATTCCTCTAGGCGAGATCAGTATAGTGATTGACATGGATTGGATGAACCGGTTTGGGGATATGATTGATTGCGTCATACATTAATTGGTAGTTCGAACCCCATGTAGGGGGAGAACTGACCATCTATTATGATGGTGTAACATCCCAAAAATACAGTCTAAAAATTTCGTTTTCATTTAATAGTAAAACCATAGTCATCGAACATCATATAAAAATCATAAACAGTGTATCTCAAAATATCGTAATAATTGTCAAAATATCAGAGTATAAAAATCCCAGGCTGAACAGACGGTTTGTGCACTGTAATCGTCCCGAGCTCCTCTTTTGAAAACTGAATACCTGAAACCAAAACTGAAAATGTAAGCACGAAGCTTAATGAGCTCCCCCAAACTACCACATACCATACAACAACATATAAAGCACATAATGGGCCTTGCCCACTGCATCAGACCGAAGTCCGGAACTAACTAGGGCCTCGCCCACTACATCGGACCGAAGTCCGGAACTAACTAGGGCCTCTCCCACTGCATCGCACCGAAGTCCGGAACTAACTAGGGCCTCGCCCACTGCATCGGACCGAAGTCTGGAACTAACTAAACATAGCATAACATAATCATAACATATAACATAAACACATATACTGCATACTACATCGGACCGCAGTCCGGAACTCATAACACATAGACATGCCTGAATCACAAAGACATCAAGCATACTGAACTACTTCTCGGGACCGCCCCGGCATCGGACCGCAGTCCGTAACTACTGATATCTATACGGGCCGACATTGTGGCCGTAGACCTGTTCCTACTGGAAGGAAACTCACCTCGTACTGCTGAAACTACTGATAACCCTCTGGCTGCTATTCAACAACTCTCCGAACTGCTGCTCCTCTAGCTCCCCGAGCTACCAATACCAAATTATAGTAATACTTAGCCTAGCTGTCCTCAAGAAGTTAACTAAGTCAACTCTGGTCAAAGTCCTTCTCAAGGTCAAAGTCCTGGTCAAAGTCAACCTTCCATTTGACTCGACTCGTCGAGTTGTTCTGCCAACTCGCCGAGTCCATGCTCCTCAAATCCCAAAACAACCCCGAATCCACTCGTCGAGTCTAGTGAGAACTCGACGAGTTCTCCTTCATCTAACACTTCGGGACTATCTTCAACCGACTCGCCGAGTTCATCCCTGAACTCGTCGAGTTCATCCCTGAACTCGTCGAGTTCATCATCATCGTATGAATACCTAGGCCATGACTTACCGGAGTTGTATGAACAACTCGTCGATTTCATCTTCCTAACTAAGAAGATTGTCTTGGACTCGCCGAGTTCCTCTTCGAACTCGTCGAGTACTATGATCTTCATGTCCATTACGGGCCCAGTCTGGTTGAATCCTTTACTAACTCCACTCACTCATCCGAATCAAAACAGAAGGGTTTGGGTTTGCGACCCGACTCGCCGAGTCCATGCACTGACTCGCTGAGTCCACCTTGTGACATCTCTATTCTGTCGATTAAAGTCCATTGCAACACCTTCAACCCATAGATCTGGACCTCTAATGCTAGCATTGCACGTAAAGTTGCTAACTTTACGTGCATGCAAGGTGCTATGAAGCTAAAACTCTTAATCCAAACTAAAATGAAGGTCTAGGTCATGAAATGAAGCCATGGCTGGGTAAAGCTGTCCCCTCAAAGCTTCTAAAGCTCAGAAATGCTTAGATCTTAAGTCCTTTTCGTCCTCAATGGCTCAATGTTCGGATCGACCTTGGAAATGGTCCAAATGTGACAAAATCTATGCTAGAAAGGGGATCTAGATGATTAACAGTCAAGGTATAAGCTTTTTACCTCTAAATGGTCTAAAATGCTACCCCAACTCTGGATCTATAACTTCTTCTTGCACCACCAAGGTCCTTCTTCCTTCTCCAAGCTTCAATTCACTATCAAGGCAAGAACTAGCTCAACAATGGAGTTGGGTGGCTAGGGTTTCGAGTTCTGGACAATAGGGGCCGCAAATGAGCCCTAGGAAAGATAATAAGATGCTTAAATAGGGTACCAAGTCCTGGAATTAGGGTTTC